GCAGTTAATTAAACTGAATGCTTCTCAAGAACAGAATTTACCATAATCACTTTTAAAATTTTTAAAGTAAATTAACTTTTGAATTAAATGTAAATTTTAAAATAAATTAACATTACTCATCATTATTTATTTGTCTTAAGGATTACTACTAAAACGAACACTTACAAGCTTTTTAAACTAAATTTAAGGTCATCACATGACAAGCCTTACTCAATGGAAATATTTTGTTCTGCTCAGAAACGAATGTGAACTTCGCCGTTACCACGTACCAGAGCAGGCTTTTTTGAAGTTCTTGTTTTCCTGCGGATGCCCAGGGAGGCGACACTGGAATCGATACTGCCAGAACTCGGCAAACCAGGGGTTCCTGGTGTTCTTGTCGATGCGCAGCTTCAGGTAATACTCATCGAAGGACTTCACTACCTCTGATTGCAGCTTCATGGTAATCCCACCCTCTGCTTCTTGTTCGTAACCCTCGACAACTTCATAGCGGTCAGCCCAGCCATCACTGTAGATATAATATATAGCACAATACAAATAAGTTTGAAAAATGTACACATATAAACACATTCCTCAAAAATACACTTTATATATAAACAGTAATCAGATCATGATGATAATTATAGACAATATAACAGTAAGAAATCACAGCAGACAATAATGACAGTCTTTGCCTGTTACTGTCCATGGCCCATTAAAGGTGATTGTTGTTGAGTGTAATTTAAAATTAATAACAGAGTGGTGCAATAACAAACATTTGCAAGAGATTTGGAATTTATACATCCATTCAGTTGCTCTTTTTACCTACGTAGTGTTTCTTAGAATGGATTGAAAGATCATTTTGGTGGCTTTTGGCTTTGAAGAAGCTCTCAATTAACTGAAAATGAAAGGGTCTTAAAGGTATACAGTTTTTTATCTTTCTTACTTTTATTCTGATTTTAATTTACTTGTATTTTCATGTTCACCACCTTGAATTGTCTTTATACAGATTGTGCTATACAATAAAAGTGCCATGCCTTTTTGCAATCATGCCTACTGTTTTTTTTGTTGTAGAATACATGCAGATATTTCCACACTATATATAAAAACAGAAATGCCTTCCTCTCAATGTCTGACATTATGTTAGGGTTAGTTAGGAGAACCAGAATTAATTATTTTTATTAAGTAGTATAATGATAGGAGATATTTAGTTTTAGATTTTCATATTACTTTATTCAAATTGATACATTTACATGTAAGACAGCTGTTCCTTTTAAATATATCTTTCAAATCTCATAATGTCATGGCTTTGTACAAGATTTGTTTTTTCTAGACGCACCTCAAACAAACTGCTCATACAACATTGCCTAATCTGCCTATTAGAATGTTAAAATGTAAAACTTATACAGAAATGTTTGAGTTTGATAATATTTTATAGCACTTTTTAAGTCAAGAGAATAGAAATCTCACTAATACTGCAAAATCTGATAATGTTTGCTGTAGGATATTCTTTCAGTTTGCTTTCTTGCTTAATCCTAAATGTCTGATTGTCTGCCCTATCATTCTCATCTGGACATAGTTTGCCACAGGGCTCCAAAAGAAATGAAAAACAGCAGTGAAAGTGACACTGAAACCCAAATTAACAGATAAACAGCATAGCTTCAAGCCACCTTTTACTCACAGTCTGAGCCAGTTTTCACTTCTGTGGCTCCCTGTGTCTCTCTGTCTCCTTGATGTTAGCTGCAGGCTTCTGCCTTGAACTACCTGTGCTATCGACAGTTGCAAACCAATTAAGTGCGACTCACCACAGAACCAATTACCTCACATGTTGTTCTGGGTGGTGGATGAGGACACGAGCATGTCTCTGTGAGTTCAGTCTCTGACCTTTTTGTCTACAATTACTGCCAGTCAGGGAAGCAAAGACATTTGAACTAGTTGCAGAAATTGTGTGGGAGACACAGTAAAACCAAGTGTGGACTTTACCGGCATGCATATATTTGTTCAGCTAGAATTGAGAGAATATGGAAATAATTTTGAGGAAAAGCTCAAGTTATTCAGCTGTTAGATCATCCTGATGTCTGACCCTCTGAACAGTCAGGTAAAAAAAAAATGCACTTTCACAGGTGAGTAAATATCATTAAATCTATACTTCAGTTATCCCTTGGAGAGAAAAAAAAACAGCCAGCTAAAGAGGTTTTATATTTGTCATCACCAAACAATTGACTAAGTCAAAGCAACAAAGCAATCATCGTTGTCTGTTTTTTCCAATGATTTTCGAAGTCACACTAATGCTGACCACCCCCAGCAAAAAAGGTAATTCTGAGGGCTGAATACATTCACATACCACGTGCCTACTTATTCATAGTTGTTATGACTCCACCTGCAAAATTTGTAAGATAGAAATTAATAAATAAATAAAATAAACATCAAAGGTAGATCCTGACACAGATAAGATCCTTGCAGGTTTGGAGGTCAGTACTCACTGAGCACTGATAATCCTCATGTGGTGTTGACCTGCAAAATAATTTAATATATCGTAAGTTAGCTAATATATGGGTCAAAACTGACAGTGTCACTTGAAATAAGCACCGCATTTCAGAAAAAGAACACCATACATATAGAAGAACAGGATGGTGGTAGTTAAATTGCTTTGGGTCTCTTTGTTTTTTCAGACCCTGCAGAATATATAACAGAATACTCTCAATTGGTTACCTTTGACCTAAGAACTCAGTATGAGAATAGAATAGAATAGAATAGAATAGAATAGAATAGAATAGAATAGAATAGAATAGAATAGAAAATAAATTGTCCCTTAATTGGGAAATGCAGATGTACCGGCAAAAAACTGGCAGCAAAAAAAGGCTGAACTGTCAGTGACAACACAAAAATTCTGGTGCTTGAGAGCAGCCTAGCCAATCTCAAAGAAATGTTCAGCTGAGTAGAATAATTACAGAAACTAAGTCTGCTTGTACAGTATGCTGTATTGAAAGATAAAAATGATTTACAAGAAAATGAAAAGCTACAAATAACATCAGGAATACAAAAAAACGTTGACTCCGAGTCTGTTGGAAATAGTGATACATAAGAAGCTTGCTCATTTCTGGTAAATGGCAAATGGCCTGTACTTATATAGTGCATTTTTCAAGTCATGGGACTCCAAACAACTTCATACTACAGTGGCTAACACAGCGGCAATTGTGTTGTGCCCAAAGACTCTGTTCTTGCACCCAATGACACAACAATAGAGAAGGCCAGAACTGGGAGTCAGAAACTTCCAGTTGCAGGGGAACTTCTTCATCAAATGCCAGTCTCTCTTTTTGAATGGTTTGCAACAAGGGTTAGCAGAATTAAAATAAACACCCTGGTATCTGCGTTATCTCTGAGTGGCTCAAAAATATTTGGTTTCAGTCACCTGGCGAAATGTCCAACTTTGACTGTCTTTTTTCCTCTTATATCTCCAATGTGACCAATATAAAACAATTGAGAAAAGAAAAATGTGGCACAATTTCTCTGATAGAATGTAAATTCCCATTGCAAGTAAGCATATTTGACTGATGGCAGTTGTTGCTACCAAGGTTGGCTTTCCAGTTATCAGATGGTGATGACTTGCTCACTTTAAGATGCCGACAGTTTGGCTCTTTATTTTATTCATTTAAAAAAATAATTATTTTAAAACTGTTGTCTTTGTTTTCTGTCTTCTGATACTAAATGGATATTAAATCAAAAGTGGTTTGTAAATCTTTTTTTTTTATTATATGAATTAATAAGGCATTTTATCATGTTGTCTGAGTTATTCAGATATAAAAAGGTTTCTAAAAGAGTATTGCATCAGGGCAAAACAGACAACTTGTAAGATATTTTCTGGCACTGTGTTTGAAGAAAAGTTCTAATGAAATTTTGTTTTAGCTTCATAATTTAAGGTATAGAATATAGAATTAACTTCCATAATTCCTACTTTGTGCAAAAATCCTGACAAATCACCTCCAAGAGCTACCATTTGCCTGCTTTTCTGACCAATGATATTTCCTGTCTTTCTGCTGACTTAACAACAATTATTATGACTCCCACTAAAATACACCAAATTGAGTTAAGACTCAGAAACACGTGAACATCATAGTTTCGTTAGTCACATTTCCTTGATTCATACCAAGTGAACTCACTTTCTTTCCCTCTTTCTTCCTTAGTAAAGTGACCCACAAGCAGCAACACTTTTTCACTAAGAAATGTAAAGCACACCATCAACATGCTAAAGTGAAACGTGAAAGGCATAGAGTGAAGTAATGTTGTGGCTGGATATGAGTAAAGAGAAGGAAGCAGCTCTAAAACAAAGAGTGAGAGGAAAAGAGGCAGAAGGAGTGCTGTTCAACACTCCATATGAATAATTCACAGTGCACTGGAGACAAGCCTAACTGTGTCTCACAGAGCAGTTTGGGATGAAGTCAGATGACATTTTTTTCTTCTCACACTTCTCTATCTGAGGATATTCCTGTCTGGCAAACATCCAAACAGCTCATCTAAGCTCACCATGGCACACGGGGGCTGCCTTATTGGACCGAATCTGATTTATTGTCACCTCAATTTTCTGCACCTTCACGCTGCATTTCTAAATAGTCACTTATTACATAACAGTAGAGTATAACTGAAAAACACCTGTTTAAACATATCAGGTGGGAAAGTTGTTATGCAGATGGTTCCATAATATAAATATGAGAGGATTTAAATATAAGTATATCTTATATGAAATAATCACCACTTTTTATACTTTTAAATACCTGAAAAAAAACATATGCTCTTATATAATGCGGGCTTGTCCGTTTTTTTTATGTTTTTACCTGCCTGGATAAGACTGAACTTTTATCGTTCTTAACCTTCTTTTTTCAATCTACCAAGAAAAAGCACAGATATGAAAAAGCACAGTCCTGTTTTGTTTTTGCACATCTAGGACAAAAAAAAAATTTGTTTTGTTTTTTTTTTTTGTTTCTCAGAATTTTCAATCTAAATGTCATATTGGGAGGACAAGGGGAACATAATCTTGTCCTTCAAAATCTCTTTTTTCCACTGGCACATTTTGAAAAATAAAGAAAAATATATTGTGCTTGCAAATAGGCTCTCAACTGTGTAAAGAAATATAATTAACATCAATAAATCAAAATGCCTATAGCTGAAAAAGGCAGACTATGGGTATTTGTGTGACATTTGGTATCATTTCTATCACCCTTACAAATGTCAACATTTTGTTGGAAAGCCCTTTTCCTCTTCAGAATGCTATTCTTGGTGAACTCCTATTAGCATTGCATGGTGTTCAACACTAAGCAAACCTCAAGCATAATTGTTTTTGACTTGTTGATTTTAATTTAGTGAATATAAATGGTTTTACTTTCTAATATTATCTAATTATCTGACCAAATTGTAAAACATAAAATAAAAATCCGCCGCCATCCAATGAAGGAAGTCATGGGCGGTCTGAGTGTTTCAGAAACCAAACTATTAATGATGGTCTGAAAATATCATCCATGGGGTGATCAGAAG